CTTTCGACTTCCCCTGTCTAGGCTTGGGCAACCTGGCAGTATCCCAGCCCTCGTGCTTCCTTCGGGTGGCATGGCAGCTAGGCACCGAAAGGGTGCTACAGCTGAACAATTTTTTGTATTGCAGGATTTCCCATTCTCTTGTGCTTCTTTGGAACTTGAGAATCAAAATCTTTAGTTTTTTGATAGGTTCACAAATATCAGCAGCTGAATGGGCCGTGATCCTACTAAAATAGATAAAGTCAGTGTGTGGACACCATTAAAAAACATGCATCATTTCTGGTGTCATTTCCTGGTGCCATTGGCTTGCGTTTACAAGGCAACGTTAAGAGAGCCTTAATTTGTGGTTAAGAAACTTGGTCCCTTCCATTCGAAAACTTTAGACGTCTTGAAACTTTTGATCACTGGCTTCCGCGTAGCATGAGTAGCAGCGAGTATTAGTGTTTAAGTGGGCATTTGGTAACGGATCATATTCGTCAGACCAGCAGATTAAACTTATCGGCTCAGGGTGGTTGGGACATGAACCACGCATGTCCTTCCACCCTCTATCCTAGAAGGAATTTCGAAAGACACGGAAGTCTAAACAGAGTCACCCAGTCAAACTGAGTGCTGTAAATCCACTTGTGTCAGACCGAAACTCTGCAGGGTGTGGCGCGCAACTGACCCCAGTGACACTCGATTTCTAGCCTGACTGCCTAGCTAGTGTTTGCTTGTATTTGTGCGCTGAAGTAAAACTGCGAATGACGCTGAGTCAATCATCTGCCTAACGACATAAGGTTTCTTTGTGTTCGCTCCCCAAACTTTCTCTCTCCACTCTTCTCTAGTACCTTTTCCTTGAATAGAGTTTGATACTCAAGCGCCAGTGCATACTAATGCATATTACTGTTGGTGTTGGCAAAGGTGCATGTGAATGAGTGACTATGCACAGGTTAAACCTAGTAAGAAAGACTACCCTGTCATTTCCGCAATTCCTCATCGGTAGCTCGATACTTCCGAGTTGTCAGCACAGTTTTCGGCAGCTTACTTCATTGGCTTCAACATTTGGCTGTCATTGTAACGATATTTTGACTGTCAGCTAGCATATTGCAGCTGGTTTGGTTGTTTTTTGCGGAGTTTTCCGTACTAGCCCTTGACCTAAGAAAAAGATGCATATCTTTGCATACAAAGGTTCGAAGGAGCTTTCAGTTAACGTCTTTTATCTTGCTACTCATTTGCACTGCACGACTTTTGTATAGTTCAACGAAGTGTTGACTTAGATGTGGGAAAGGCATCTTCCTCTGATGTTCTAGAGTGGGTTAATTTAGAGATTCTTCAATTCCCAGCTGTGGTATATATCATCCATCATGATCATACAGATCGCCGTTTAAATGTCGCCTAGTTGTGAGTAACTCACTAAGTATAGCTTCATCTAGAGACTGCCATTCAATCTCCTTTCAGGTCATCCTTGTAATGAATGTCAGTCCAACTGAATCCTGAAAAAATCTTAACTTTCTACATCCACTGGGCACATGCGGCAAAAAACAAACTTCTGAGAAGGTATTTGAATTTCGCCATTTAATCTTCAACGTATGTACTAATTCGGTGCAGCTAAAACTACACTGCGCTTCATGCTATGTTTCTACAACTGGGCTCTCAGTGAAATAAAACTGTACCCGAAACAATCTGCCTTTTTTGAAAAAAAAACAATTATTTGCGAACCAGTTGAATCAGTCACGTTTTTTTACTTCGTTCAACATATATGAACCCAATATGCGGTAGTTAGTTAACATTTGCATACAGTTAGGTTTTCTAAGTCATTTTATTCCTAAATTCATTGATTGGGAATAAACTGAATTCGTCAAAGACTCAAAAAATGAATAAGTCTTAGGGGTTGAGGTGATACTCACTTTTATGATCCACCTTGGAACACGATTACGGCGATCTCCTCTGAAGTATAAATTGATCACAATGACCGAGAGGAACGAAGACAGAGTGATCAGGATCATGTTGAGACAATAGTAGTAGCCTGAGGAAAGAAAGTCAGTAAGTGAGACTAGTGGTCTAATCGGTCACGTGCGCGGTCATGCGCGTATAATTTCCCGCAAGAGGCAATCAGAGTTGTAGACTAACACCATAGGGACCTCTCCTCAGTGAGAGTCATCCCGGTGGAACAAAACTCGACTGTTCAATGTGGCTGGGCGAATCGGACTCTTAGGATGAGGTGAGAGTGGTCCAGTTAAACAAATAAATAGGAGACAATGGTGAATCTTATTGTTGAGCTTTTCTTGGGAAAATGGAGTGAGTAGGGATGAAAATTTATAGACAATTCAGCTGGTGTGCAATTTTATTTGGGATCAACTTCGATCAAACCATGCAACGAAATGATCGAACTTCTCTTAGGAGCAAGGACAAACCTCTGGATTGGCCTGATACATTCTTCCTTAGTGTGAATAAAGGAACTTGAAAATGCCATTACACATCGTTCGTACAGTGTCACTGCATACAAGGAACGTTTGCAAAAAATGTTTGGTAAAAATTCATCTCCATTTAATTCATCCTCAGCTGATGAGTACTGAAACTAACTTGATGTTGGACGCCCACTTTGCTTCAGAATCTCATATGGTCTATATTACCATTCATTCACTTTTCCCTTACTACTCAACATCATTCAGGTTGCACCATTCCGCGTACCGATGTGATGACATTGTCGGACTAAACAATAATGCTGCAGTAGACTATAAATTGAATAAAGTTAGAAAACTGACTGGAAGACGTCCTCAGACACTGACAATTTTTACTCATACGAATTTATAAATATTAGGGACGGACTCCAACTGAACCAATTGAAATTCCCATTGTCTTGGTGCGAAAGAGGTGGGAATCCGACCTCTTTAGCTGGGAAACCAATCACATAGGAAGTTGATATTGTAGTCCAAGACAGATATTCAAGCCCTCGATATTCCGCCTACCCAATGGTTTGTTTGCCACCTGCTTCATGATGGTTGACAGGCAAATGGTATACACTGTACAGCACGATCAGTTGGATGGACTAGATTAGTTTCAACTATGTTGTATCAACGACAGGCAAAAGGCTGCTTCTGAGTAGCTGTCCTGAGGAGCTTACAAAAATTCACCAGGTATGCACTAATCAGTGCCACGAATATCCTGCTTCAAGTCAAACAGCAACATGCAGTGGACAGTTCAATAAAGTGGATCACACCGTCACTGAGCGCTGGATCCGATCCCAATTCAAGGGAAATAAGAATGTCGACACATATATGACTTATAGGATAACTGGGATAACCGTTAGTTTGATACGTCCACAATGGCTGAATAGGCGACCTCCCGGGTTTCAGCTGTTTCCGAGGAAATGCCCAGCACCACTGAACTGTCAGCAGCCGGTCTGCCTCTCATATGTTTTCATACGTAGCGGATAGTTGTCGTGATTGGTCACCACACAGAAAATTACGAGTAGCACGAACGTTAAAAATTGGTCTATTTGATGACAGGCCGATAAAAATTATTTTGCCGCATGTAGGTGCATTTGTTCGTCTGTTCGTGGTCCAACGAGCTGGAGGAGTTCAGCGGCATGAATTAATGCTGAGAACCACAAACAACCGGTAAATGAGTGTTAAAGGTAAGTGACGGATAGTCGTTATTTGCAAGGCAGCTGCAACACAGGTGGATTTCGAAGCTGATCGAACACAGTCAGTGTTGGGCAGGCCATTGGTGACTTTTCAGCTACTTCTAACACAATTAGAAAATAAGGAAACTAGTGGAATATTCGTATCTAACGGACCCAAAGAAGAGTGAGGTAGGTGGTAGGCTATCGAAGATCTTATATTGACCTCGTAAGTGGCGTTATGTTCCGGATGAGCCGCTAAAATTCCACTATTTCTCGTTTGGAGCTACCTGAATTTTCACCATGTGCGGAAGCTCTGCTCTATTTTAAACGGCGTATTTGCAAACGAACTTCCTCACCATACACATAAATATGGGACGATGGCAGATTAGCACCAACCGAAGTAAGATTATGATGAAACTGGAAGCGCCAACTCAACATTCGTTCCAATTGGAAAATGGGTGGCATATTTGGGGATCTTCATCCCGTCGAACTTTTTGGTTGTGATTCACCGGAACACAAGGAAGCAATAACGAAAAAGCTACCGACATAAGGAATATCTTGCCACTTGCTCGCGGTGTGTAGTGTAAATGAACTTAGATCCAACGTGCCCCAAACCATACCTTCATCCAGAAAGTAACACCGTTCGGTAACTTTGAAACATCCTGGTCGGCGTCATTTCTGCTGTTGTATCATCACTGAATGTATCTGACCGATTCACTTTGCACTCGATTTACGATGAGATTTTCTTTGAAGTTCTTATAGAGAATATATGGCTAACTTGAAATCAGTCTCACCAACGTTTTGATTGGGATACACTCCATAGTTTATAGAGGAGTTTCAAAAATCTGGCCAACGTGAGGCTATTCTTCTTAGTCGCCGACGGGACCGCTCATGAGGCGTGAAGATTTGCGCGTCTAAACGATTTGGATAAGGCCACAACTTAAGCATGATCCTGGAGATAAATTAAAATCAACCTATTGGTAATCACCAAGGTCTCTATAGGGAAAGATACCAACATAAGTGAAGAAATCTGACTTCTTACTAGTAGACATTTGTTGTGAACTGATCTAATCCCGATCCAAACTGAGTTTAATCTTTTGCTTCATGTCCTCAAGAAAGAATTTTGAACTGGAGCAAAAACAATGGGAGTGTGTGGGTGAACTTGAAACCTCCGATCCCATTAACGTCCAAGCTCACGTTCGACTCACGGTTGTCGAACTTACTGAAGCCGGAGAGAAAAAACTCGCAAACGAGTGCGATCGGACACTGATCCTATCCACTCCTGATAATTACTTGCACACATTCTTGTCCTTGGTAGTGAATATCATACTTTTTGAGGCTTTGTCCCTGATTCACAAGTTTTGTTGTTTTTCTTGCTATATTGCTCAGCGGTTTCATGCATTCACTCATAAAACATTTCTTCCTCACACCTAGAATCGGAGTGGCTGCCTTCGACCTCGGTCAGTATCTGTAATCACTGTCTTGATTGAAAGCCGAAACTCAAACAGATTTTGATAACAGAACACTTTGGTATCCTAAAGCGCTCGCAAAAATTAATCAAAGCCTGCCACATAATCCTGATAAAAAGGGAGTAATCGTTCTCACTGCGTTGATGGGTCGAATAACAACCTACTGGAAAGACCTAGATTCGGGAAAGTATAAGCCGAGGAAAGCAAGAAGTAGATGAGAGAACAACTACGAAAGCCTAAACTAGTAATTGTTCAACCAACCGACACAGCAACACATTCTTCCAAAAATGCATAAACCCTGGCTAACCAAACGGGTTTATTCTCAACTTGTTCAGCCCCCATTCGAATCGACTTAGTAGCTGGTTAGCCTACCAGAACCAAGGAGCAGAGAGGTGTTAATTCAATTTAGAGATTGTTTCTAGTTCATTAACCAGCTTAAAGATTTACAGGTACATAACCATCCCAACGCTTCGTCCCAGTTCACCAGTGTGTCACTCACTGAAAAATTGCAGTGTGAATTCACCCAGTGGCAAAAGTTTTCAGTATACTCAACCCGGGGCTAAAAGAACTATTACCGTTTTCTACACATAAAGGTTGGTTAGGCTCTGCAAGTAAACTTTGTCGACAGAGTTGTGATGGGATCTTCTTTAGGTCCTTTTCTAGATGACCTACTCATGTGCAAAATTAAAAACTTAAGAGTAAATTGCATTCATTTGACAATATCCACTGATAATATTAGGTGACCAGACGTGCTGCACAACTTCATTTCAGCTCAAAGAATAATAATAAGTTTACTCTTGAATGTGAGTAAAGCGGCCCGCTAAATTTTCCTAATGTATTCATTCTTAAACGGTCAGTGGGTTTGCAGAAATTGAAGCCCACAAAAAGCAAGTCTGGACAGTCCAGAATATTTACGTTGGTGTCTTTGTTCCTTTGCGACAAAAGCGGAATTTGATTAGATGTCTGACTGAGATGACAATAAATATATGTTCTCTTGAATGTATATAAGAGGAATAAAAACGTTCAGAACATATATTTACGCAGAACCAAAATTCGGAACAATTCAAACTAAAAATATGGAGTATACACAGCCGAGCTATAACCAATAATTGGCTGAGAAAAACTTGCCTACCTACCACTCAAGGTTGCTTGGCTGGTCACCAAAAGTCTAAGCTATTGTGTTGGTTTGACTTATACGACAGATCTCTGTTCTTTAGTTTCAGTTCCAGCCCCACTATCAGGCTTCATTTCAAAGACAAATTTCTAGTGTCTGCCACCAGCTTACATTTGTATTGATGTGCTCATACCGGACATTGAATTTCGATCGTTTGACAAGCCAGTTGTCAGAGGGCATACAAAATCACAGTCCGATGCTCTGAATGGTGGTTGAAGGAAACCCAGCTTAGGTTCAAGTGTGCCAGTGTGTTTGAATGCAACCGATCATGTCAAATGCGTTGCATTGCCTATACCGAGTGCCCCTGAACCGATCAAGTCGACTGCACAGACTATCAGAATCCGGTTACCCTTCACTCACAAGAAACTTGTCTGACCTTTGGACTTAAGCTGATCTACTGCCAACTGTCTTCCGTAAATTTTGAAAAGGACGCAACTCATTTGACTCTGCTACCCACTGGCTTCCGTCCTTCGTTCCTCCTTTATTCACGCATGCATCCACTACTTCGTCTATCTGCACCTCAAAGATTTGTGTTGGATCCGTTAAAAGAACCAATCACAGAAAACAATATTTGTTTGCTGCCTTCTTTCCTATTACAGAGTCCACGGGTGGCTTCAGTGTCTTCTCTAAGATCAATCTGAAATAATTATATTCTTTACTAACGGGTGAGACATAATCATTAATTCTTTCTGGGGTGAACCTGCACCAACATAGAACACGGCTTTTCCCCTCACATCCATGATGTTCCCTGTGTTCGGC